TCCCTCATCCGGACTCGGTTTTAGGCCATTCTTAAGTCTAAATTAAAGTCCCAGAAGTCTACTTTCTAGTGGTGGTGGCCTCACATCTAAATTCTAAGTGTGAAAAGAGATATGTCTATTTTAGTGAAGGTTGCTCATTTCTATTCTAACGGATTGATGCCCAACTTCTTCCCCAACTAGTTTTCTTCCATCCCCTCCTATTTTCTTTAACTCCAAACCTCTAAATAAGATGTTTTTAAAGATTTTTCAAATAGTTCGCCTCTCTTCCATTTATGTCCACTTTGTCCTTACTCGGTTTACCGAAAAGTGTAATATTTTAAATGAAATGCAAGCCTTGGAACATCGTAAAAACATTTGGAAAAATATTTTGAAAAAGAGGGTTTTAAGGTCTAAAATAGTTTTGGTCAAAAATATTTTTGGTCAAAAATATTTTTGGTCAAAAATGGGGTGTAAGGTTGAGATTTAGAAGCTCTTCTTACTGAAGAAATCAAACGTTTGTACAGCATAACTTTCATCATCGAGTGATCGACCTAAGGCGCCCAAGTCTTAAGGACGGTCAAAAATAGGGTGCCTACACAATTCTTGAAGCTTCAAAAGTGAGTAGCCAACTTTCAAAACAATTCCTAAAGCTTCAAATGTGGGTAACCAACCTTCGAAACAATTCTCAAAGCTTCGAATGCAAGTAGCTAACTTTCAAAACAATTTTGTAAGCTTCGAAGGCGTAGAATCACATCCAACCTACGATTGTTTGAAACCCAAAACTATTGTTGATGCAACAGACAGTCCTTTGAAGCTTTTGAAGTCACAACAAAAAGGACTTTCGAAGCACATATTTTGATTCATATCAAATAATAATAATAATAATAATAATAATTGATAGAACTACTTTGAAGACATCCTGGAGCCATCTTCGATACATGCAAAGACCAAACTTTGGTTTTACCTTAAAGGAAATTAGCCAATGTCTCCCAAAGCCAAAACAAATTTAAGAATGGATTCATAGATGAAATCCAAAATTAAACCACTCCGCAAAGTTAATTATGGTATTATGTGGTTGTCCATAAAGCTTGAAAATTTTAGAAAATAAAATAAAATAAAGTTAAATTACCATTACTTTGAATAAATTGGCCATTCTTAGCCAAGTTCAATATTTCAAATGGCTAAGTTGTTCTTTAGTGCACCAAACTCATTGAAACAATGCTTAAAGATGATTGCTTTATTAGCCATTTCATCAAACTTAAATTTTGATGTGAACCACAAATCCAAAAAGGATTTTGAACATCAAGAATCATAGTACAAGATGGCCTTAAAAATTCAAACTTGTCATTTTCAATAATTTCACAAAATTCAGATTCGTGAACATTAAATTATTCATCATTCTTAGCTATGTTTGACTTGAGAACATGTTCTTCGGCCAAATAACTTTCATTATTCATTGACAAATGGGGTTGTTTTTTTATTTTATCCATTAATGGATTATGAAAATCCTCCATGTGAGTTTCATCATTTCTTGGTCTAATGGGTAGTTCCATTTTAGCCATTAATGGCTTATGAAAATCCTCTATATGAGTTTTATCTTTTTTGGCTTAATGGTTGTTCCATTTTAGCCATTAATGGCTTATGAAAAGCTTTTATAGACATGTTATTTTCATGGTTTGACTCTCCAAGAATAGGTTTTTCAACCCCCAATCTTTACATGGAATATCATTTTTAATCATGTTTGGCTCAACGACATGTTTTTTAGCCATGTTATTTTCATAAATTGACTCCTTAAATATGAGTTTTTTACCCCCCTCATGCCATTGATGAAATCAATTATTTTCTTTTGCCATTTTCAACACTGAAAGAATTTTGAAAAAACTCACCAATTCCGACCATTAAAGCCTCGGTTAAAGACTTGATAGTGAGAGTTGACAACTCATCATTCCATTGGCGAACTTCCATATCAAATTCATGAATTTCCCCAATTAAATAGTATTTTTTTTTCTTTTACCAAGTAATATTGTAATAGATAAAAGTTTGTTTCATCAAGAAAATGGATCTCTTCTTGAAGATTCAAAATTTTTTGTTTACGCCAAAAGATTTCGTCTAGGCTATTTGAAATGGAAGAGTTTAATTCATTTTTTATTTTTTACACTTGACGTCCCACTGGGCGTGCCAAAAATTATTAGCTTATTTTTCTTACGAAGAAAAAAATCATAAATATGAGCGTGCCAGCAAAGATTGAAAAATCCTTACAAATTAAATTCAAGCCAATTATCAAGCGATTATGTCAACGGTTCTTTTGCCTAAATGAAAAGGACTTCAAATTGTCAAGTATAGAGAAAAGAAAAATTAAAAGAAGAGAGACAAAGAAAAATGATTGAGTGAATAATCAAACTAACCATTAATTTACCTCTACTCCTATACTTCGAAAAAGAAGTGCATAAAATAGAGTACAGAAAATTAACCTATACTGCTATGCTTCGAAAATGAAGTGCATAAAATAAAGTGTAGGAAATATAAATGATAAGAAAAATAGAAATCAATCGTCTTTAATATGAGTTTTGGCTCTTTTACAATGTAGCCATGAATGACTATTTATAGGCAAACATTTGTAGGAAAAAACTACTTAATAACTACCATATTCTTCTATCTTCCACACTTCACACTCCATGATCTTCCATTTTATCTCCATATCTCCATAACTTCCTTTAACCTCCAATTCATGCTCCATGTTCTCCACTTTGTCCTTCATCATCTTTCTACATGTGTTTAATACTTTATAATTTCTCATAACCTCTAAATCAGTAAAAGAGTGCCACATATCCTGCAATTATATAAATAATAACTAATAATAATTATTTATTTATGGTGCCAATATATTTAAATTTCTACATAAAACATATAAGATGGAGAGAAATCCACATTGCCAGGATTTAGTTGCGGTAGTCAACGTGTATTGAAGTTGTTAGGCTACAAATAAACTAAATTATTTAAGTTTTAACTCATATTTTAGTTCACTAAAAGTATTTAAGTTTGAATACATTTTAAAGTTAGTTAAGTTCTTAAGTCAAACTTTTTAGATAATCTATTACTCGGCCTGATAAGCCTCTATGCATTATGAAGAGCCAAGCTACTTGAACTTAACTCATATTCAATTCGTAAAAAATTCATTTAAATTGACTCATTATGTAAACAAATCAACCTTGACTACGTTTTTAAACTAGTTAACTTTTCAAGTCAAATTAAAAAACTTACTACTCAACTTGTTTATAACCCCTGTAAAGGCTGAGGGTGGAGGGGAATCAAAGACGACGAGGCCAGAGAGATGTTCAACAATTTAGGGTTAGTATAATCAGACATGTAATCAAATAGGGAAAAAAATAAAAAAATAAAAAATAAATAAATAGATAATTTGTCAGATTGGATGATTAATCCAAATCCAAATATGATTAATTCAATCAATTGGATTCAGATTAAAGTGGGATTATCATATCAGATCATTTGTAACGGATTCGGGATAAACCCAATCCATTAACAGTACAGAGACATTGAGTGCAACTTGCCCACCAGAGCTTGACTTGGATGGCATAACATTTCAAGGCATAGAATGGTCAAGAACTAACATTGCATGACTAAAAATTTGCAACACCCAATCAATCTTTCTTTTGTAATGTAATTGTAGAAATTCTATTGTTTGACAGTATCAAAAACTTACATATCATTCATGTGTTGAACTAGTGAGTAGAAGAGCTCCAGATAAGCAAATTTGAGATGTTCAAAAGCTAAAAGGGTAAGGAGAGAGAACTAGTCTTGACTTCTTTACTTCTAAACTAATTTGCAAATGACACGTCATGTCCTTGGATTCAACACTGCTAAATCAATGAGTACTTCTCTATACTTACAAGTAACCTCAAGAAGAATTCATACAAGACAAGTAACTTTCAACTCTAACCCTTAAAAAGTTTAGAAGAGTCACCAAAAGCAAATTATTAAAATGTTATTAGAAAGATGACTCGGTACATAAGACTACCATTACAGAAGGATTTGAAGAGGACAAGACACATATAGTCTTATTCCCATTTCTGGAGAGGTTGTTTCGCACCACCAAAGAGGCTAACAAGAAGTTTTATTGTTGGGCCAAACTTTTATTAGAATGTTAGCAATGATAGAAAATTCAAGGATTAGATAGGATATATTCATACATAGCAAAAATGAAATTTGGATTAAGGCTACGAAGTAAGAAACTAGAAATACTTGAAGGACCCATGAAAATTATAAATAAAATGTTGCCGCGACATGATTATGTTTCCGGCCCAAGTTATTTTAAGCGAAAATGTAATTATTACAAAAAAAAAAAAAAAACGATTCACGTCCAAATCGCTTTGTGATTCTAATTGGAGGATTGACGATATTCGCCCGTACGATGAGCCTCATTTTTTTCATTCCGATATGCCGGAGGTTGGTACTAAAAAGGATGAACGACTTGGGAGAAAATTGAAGTTGTTGGGACTCTACATCCAGGGTGTAGTTTTACGCCAAACGGGTGGTATCTCTGAAGTTGCTGCCGATACGCCTGGGCTTGAAAGCGACATGCGTGACGCCCCTACTCAAACCGTGGAGTTTGATCCATCTGGTATACTTGATAATGGCCAATGTGAATTTGTCGTTGTGTTTGACCGTTTTCCTAATCTTGCGTATACGCCTAAGTTTGAAGATGTTTTCCAGTGATCCAGTGGTGACCCACGAGCTGGCTGTATGGTCAGGGGCACGGAAATAGATTGTTTTGTTGTATTGCGGCGTGTCCCTGTTTTAATGCCGCCACAATTGAACGAATATTCAGTCGTTAGCCGTCAAGACGTGAAAACATTTATCAACATCGGAAAGAATGTTGTATCCGAATTCCGAGATAGTTTTGGTGAGCTGAACGGCGCATATAATAATATTGTAAAAAACACAATTATTTGTTATTTTGTGTGGGAATGTCGCACAAAATCGTTTGTAAGGGCGCATTTGAATTGTAGATTGAAATATTGTTAGTAATAAAATAATTGATTACAACTTGTTTTACATCGGCCTCCGTTATACATTTATTTTTTGTGCTGATGTGGACCCTTCGACTACGGCCTTTACAGCTTCTGCTATTAATTTGGACACCTCATCCGTATTGAGCCTTGATGATTCGGAGTTATTGGATCCGGCCTCACTTATAGATGGGCCTATGTCGACTGGGCCGCTAGGCTGATTATTTGGCCCAGTGTTGATTATTGATGGGCCTTGTGTCGGCATAATCATGTCGCGGCGACTGAATAATTCAGGCCCATCTCGAATTGTTGACGACAACATTTTATTTATAAATAAAATAAAATAAGAAAAAAAGCGCAACCCTTCCAAACATAAGAATTTGCTTGTCCAACAAAAACTTACAATGGGTACCCAGGCCATTGGGTACCCAGGCCACTGAGGCCAAAGAATGAAATTATCAAAGTTTACCTGTACATGAAATCTTAGTAGAACAAATGTTGGTCCCACCAAAATATGCGAACGTGATGGTTAAATTAGGCTAGAAATTGATGATGTTAACACATAGGGGATATTGGCTTGAGGGCCCCGTTGGCATGCAAGTTCGTGGATGTCCTTCACAATGTCAAACACCGCATCTGGTTGCGCAAGTTTGAGCGCATTCTCTGACATTCTCTTGAGTTCATCCCTTTTGGTACTGAACCATTCGGCCACGAGCTTGGCTGTTTCCTTCGGACTTCTAGTGAAGACACCTGCCCCGTTGTCTACTACGTAGGGAACATTTCCCTTTTCCTGGGAATGCCACATGAGAGAGGAAAATAGACAATGAGGTCAGTGTTGTTTTGCATGAAAATGCATCAAAGAGCAAAAAAGTAATGAGTCACAAGCAAGAAAGTAATCTTGTCACTTACTTGCCCAGGAATGTAGTCATTGAGAATAATAGGAAGCCCTCGGATCAATGCCTCTGCAATTGTACCAGGTCCTGCCTGCAGAACCCAGAAACCAAAATAAGCCATAAGTCATCAATACTTGATCGTCAGCCTGTTTGCTTGAACTTCTAGCTAGCTGAAAACTGATAATCAGAAATCAAAAGCTAAAAACAACTCTCTTTGCTTCTTGATAATCAGTTTTTTCCAACTTTATTAAGCCATTTTTACTTCATAAACCGTAAACAAATATTGCACCAAACATTCTGACACAGATTTTCAAAATAAAATAAAAAAATGCTATAAACAGCTTCATAAGCTGGCTGCACCAAACAGCCCATTGTATAGTAGGTATGGAGGTGAATATCAAGATGGGATTGCAGAGACATACCTTTGTAATAATGCAGTCACAAGCACCCATAGATTCACGTCCAAATCGTTTTGTGATTCCATTTGGAGGATTGACGATTTTCGCCCGTATGATGAGCCTCATTTTTTCCATTTCGATTTGCTGGAGGTTGGTACTGAAAAGGATGAACGACTTGGGCGAAAATTGAAGTTGTTGGGACTCTACATCCAGGGTGTAGTTTTACGCCAAACGGGTGGTCTCTCTGAAGTTGCTGCCGATACGCCTGGGCTCGAAAGCGACATGCGTGACGCCCCTACTCAGACTGTGGAGTTTGATCCATCTGGTATACTTGATAATGGCCAATGTGAATTTGTCGTTGTGTTGACTGTTTTCCTAATCCTGCGTATACGCCTAAGTTTGAAGATGTTTTCCAGTGATCCAGTGGTGACCCACGAACTGGCTGTATGGTCAGGGGCACGGAAATAGATTGTTTTGTTGTATTGCGGCGTGTCCCTATTTTAATGTCGCCGCAAAGGAACGAATATTCAGTCGCTAGCCGTCAAGGCGTGAAAACATTTATCAACATCGGAAAGAATGTTGTATCCGAATTCCGAGATAGTTTTGGTGAGCTGAACGGCGCATATAATAATATTGTAAAAAATGCAGTTATTTGTTATTTTGTGTGGAAATGTCGCACAAAATCGTTTGTAAGGGCGCATTTGAATTGTAGATTGAAATATTGTTATTAATAAAATAATTGATTACAACTTCTTTTACATCGGCCTCTGTTGTACATTTATTTTTTGTGCTGATGTGGACCCTTCGACTGCGGCCTTTACAGCTTCTGCTATTAATTTGGACACATCATCCGTATTGAGCCTTGATGATTCGGAGTTATTGGATCCGGCCTCACTTACAGATGGGCCTATGTCGACTGGGCTGCTAGGCTGATTATTTGGCCTAGTGTTGATTATTGATGGGCCGTGTGTCGGCATAATCATGTCGCAGCGACTGAATAATTCAGGCCCATCTCGAATTGAACTCGCTGACGACAACATTTTATTTATAAATAAAATAAAATAAGAAAAAAAGCACAACCCTTCCAAACATAAGAATTTGCTTGTCCAACAAAAACTTACAATGGGTACCCAGGCCATTGAGGCCAAAGAATGAAATTATCAAAGTTTACCTGTACATGAAATCTTAGTAGAACAAATGTTGGTCCCACCAAAATATGCGAATGTGATGGTTAAATTAGGCTAGAAATTGATGATGTTAACCCATAGGGGATATTGGCTAGAGGGCCCCGTTGGCATGCGAGTTCGTGGATGTCCTTCACAATGTCAAACACCGCATCTGGTTGCGCAAGTTTGAGCGCATTCTCTGACATTCTCTTGAGTTCGTCCCTTTTGGTACTGAACCATTCGGCCACGAGCTTGGCTGTTTCCTTTGGACTTCTAGTGAAGACACCTGCCCCGTTGTCTACAACGTAGGGAACATTTCCCTTTTCCTGGGAATGCCACATGAGAGAGGAAAATAGACGATGAGGTCAGTGTTGTTTTGCATGAAAATGCATCAAAGGGCAAAAAAGTGATGAGTCATAAGCAAGAAAGTAATCATCTTGTCACTTACTTGCCCAGGAATGTAGTCATTGAGAATAATAGGAAGCCCTCGGATCAATGCCTCTGCAATTGTACCAGGTCCTGCCTGCAGAACCCAGAAACCAAAATAAGCCATAAGTCATCAATACTTGATGGTCAGCCTGTTTGCTTGAACTTCTAGCTAGCTGAAAACTGATAATCAGAAATCAAAAGCTAAAACCACCTCTCTTTGCTTCTTGATAATCAGTTTTTTCCAACTTTATTAAGCCATTTTTACTTCATAAACCGTAAACAAATATTGCACCAAACATTCTGACACAGATTTTCAAAATAAAATAAAAAAATGCTATAAACAGCTTCATAAGCTGGCTGCACCAAACAGCCCATTGTATAGTAGGTATGGAGGTGAATATCAAGATGGGATTGCAGAGACATACCTTTGTAATAATGCAGTCACAAGCACCCATATATTTCTCCATCTGAGTCACAAACCCTCTAATCTACAATGCAAGAAAATCGAAAAGCTTAAAATTGTTGACTCCAAAGAAAATGCTGGTAGACTGCATAAATGCACACCTCAATTTGTATAAGAGGTATTGGTACAGAAAGAAAATGTAATCAATTACCTTCACTGGGATATTCCATTCAAGTAATTCTAGTGTAGAAACTAGGTCTTTGTTACGACCACAAATAATAATCAATTGCCCAATTGGTTTCCCAAGTTCTTCATCAAATAGAGATTCTCCAAGAGCTTTCGCAGTTTTCTTCACAGGCCCCATTCCTTCACCCCCTCCCATCAGCAAAACTGCAGGTAATTCTGGATCCATCTCAAGCTCAACTCTTAAATCATCCTATAAAAAGTATTAAGAAACCAAATCAAGGCACAATTGACATAAGTTTCCATCAAATCAAAGACAGAATGAAATAGTTAGATAATGACAAACATCCCACCTTGGAAAGAACAGCGCGGCAAAAAGAAGGTCTGATTGGCAAGCCAAAAACACGTGTTTGAGATTCTTCTAGGCCATCAAGCAAAGCCCTCTTTGCTACCTCTTCTGAGGGGCAGTAGCATCGATTGACCCCAGGGTGAAACCTAAATATATAAATGATTCAATTTCCCAGTTAACAGCATACCATAAAATAAGATTACAGGGCATGGATGATAAATGGAACTTCAATGTATAGAAAGGAACTCACCATGTCCGGTGGCAGGTATTAAGGTCTGTGATGACGCTGACAAAAATTACTTTCTTTTGTAGACCTTGCCATTTAAGAACCCACAAAGGGATGTGTTGCATGAGAGGATGAACACTAATGATAATGTCTGGCTTGTACTCCATAAGACCAGCCTCAACCTCCCTTCAACCAATCAATCTGAGAGATTAGGGAACCACATAACACTAACATGGTTTAACTATAACTTTTTCATTTTCTTTTACAAACCAATAAAACTTCCAGCTGGATGTACGATTTTCGCATTAAAGGTAAGCAACAACATGAAAAATCATTTTTAACTTCTAGTGACTGATGACAAAGAATAAATTTTTATATGAAAATAACATAAAGTAAAAGACTCCAGCAAAATTGGTAATAGCATCATGATTCAATGAAATTTAAAATATATACTAAAAGATTATAGCTGGACTGCATCATTTATGGTGACCCAACAAAAGTATCAAGGAATAAACAATAGAAGTAGTATATAAAATAACAATCCACTTGCAGTCAAGAAATCATTATCCACTTAAAATAGTAGCATACTGTCGATTCAGGTTGAGAGGTAAATGTGTTAATAGCAGGAACAAGAGAAAATACTTGGCATAAAAGGCGGCGATGGCGGCAAGGTAGCAAGAGTGTATCCATCGAGGAGATGTACTGTGAAATGCAACCTTCCAAAGCTGTACATGTTTAATCATGAACTTGTACGATCTCTCCATGTCGTTCAATGGCCAGCCAGTGTACTCCTTCCAAACATCCTTCACAACAACCTGAAATTAGATATATATACACACAAAAAAAAAAAAAAGAGCCCAGTGAGAAAAAAATAAAATAAAATAAAATTGATAAGAGGAACTTATCATGAACTCAATTCAAAAAACCACAACAGCTAAAATATAAAAAACTAAAAGCTACACAGAGCTACTGATATTGCATGGTTCATGAAACATCACTACCCAAAGAAAGGGGAAAGAAAAGCCATCTACTCTCGAAACTTTTAAAGGAAAACAATCAAATATTACCTTTTTAAATATTCCAGAAGATCGAAAAACTGGAAAAACATGGTAGAATTCATTGAAAATAAACCACTGGCACATAATTTACAAAGGGCAAAGCTTAAAAAAACCAAACTGCTAACTTGATCATCGATTTGAATGACAAAAGGTGAAAACTGAAGGGAAGAAAACTCATTTCATCAGAGAGAGAGAGAGAGAGAGAGAGGGAAAGTGAGAGTCTCAGACCAAAATATTATAGATTACAAGAGCAGAAGATCAAATCATGAAAAAACAGGACAACAAAACAAAATCAGAGGAACTAAACACAAAACTATCTAATAAAAAAAATGAAAAATTAGGAAAAGTTTCAACACCATTGCATCACACTCATCGCCAAACTCCAATTTAATCACAAATGAACTCAGAAGAGACTCCATAAACACATAATTTCTTGTTAATTGACCATTGATTTGAACGGAAAAAGGTCAAAAACTGAAGTGAAGAAAATTCATTCCATCAGGGAGAGTCTTAAAAAAAAAATTCCCTAAATTAATTATAAGAGCAGAACATCAGAATGAGGAAGCAAAAACAACACTAAAGAGTACCCATAGAAAACCCAGAAAAGTTTCAACTCAATTGCCTCGTACTCATCACCAAACTCCAATTTAATCATAAATGACCTCAGAAGAAACTCCACATAACCACAAAATCTCCGATTAGAACATTCCAACATCAAAGTAGTACTTGCATACTATACACAATATATGAGAATCCATGAAGACCCAGAAGAGGAAATGAGTTCAAATACCCGATATTCGTCCCCAAACTCCAGTCTGAAGGCGTCCCGAATCGCCTCCGCCGAGGCACGGTGGCCTCCGCCGGTGTCACTCATCAAGATCAGCACATTCTTGGTCCTCTCGGCGCCAATCTGCATCATCTCCATCGTCCCTTCATCATCACTATCCTGAATGTCATACTTGCGTCTCTTCTGGCTGCTCCCGCCAAATCCATAGACCCCAACTCTCTGGAACACCGTGTTTATCGACTTCCTCGGCGACGCCACCGTCATCACCATACCTGTACATACAAATGTTTACAATTTGTATATACAGACACAGGACTATGAAAATTCCAACTCAGACCCGCCAAAAGATATCAAAAACCCAGCAAAACCCAGAAATGGAATCTGCCAACGATTTAGAGAGAGAAAGTGAGGGTGAGGACAGATATTTTGAGAGAGAGGGAGAGAGAGAGAACGTTGCCCGGAATGGTTGATTCCCGGCGTGAATGGTGGCAGGGTAGAGGAAAAAAGAAAGGGGAATTTATAGCCGTTGATTCGCATTTTGGGTCGGAATGTTCTAATTGGCAGATTCGAATATTTTCACGAGGCGTCTGTACTCTGAGCACTGATTTATTTCTTAAAAAAATAAAAACAAAAAAAAAAAAATATCTGTTCCCCTTTGATAATATTATTTTTTAATTTAAAAGTTAAAAAATTATTAAAAAATTAAAAAAAATTAACAATTTATATCAAAAGGTTAAAAATTTCATTTTCTATTTACTTTTGATATATTTTTTCATAAAAAATTAAAAAATCATTTCAAATATATTAATTTTTTTACATCATATTTTAACAAAAAAATTAAAAAATTACTAAGAAAGCATATTCCAAATGAGGCCTTAAACTCTATATAAGTATTTGTTGGATTGGGTTTTTTTTTATTTATTTAATTGCTACTATGCCCCTCTTTCTACCCTCTTATTTCATGGTATACATTTCTTGTTTTCTTTTTTCAGGAATTTCCTTTTTCTTTTCTTGACATCTAAAAGGATTTATCAACATTTTTGTCAGTTATTCTCCATAGTTCATTCTCTCTTTAATTTTTCTTATTTAATTTTGTAATATTTCACATAGTTCGAATTTACACTCCGTTTATTTGAACGAAAAATATTTTTTAATGAAAAATATTTTATACAAAAAATAAAAAATAAAAAATTCAAGAGTTATCTTCCAGGAAAAATATTTTTTTATGTTTGATGGTGGTAGTTGAGAGGGTAATTTATATATAAATTGGGTCGAGCTGGGTAAAGGGCCATTCTGTGGGCCACAGTAAGAAGGGCTGAGTAAAAGGGCCTTGTAATTAGTCCGGTCCAGAAGAGCCTTACAGATAGTCCGGTCTAAAGGAGTTCAGTGGTTAGCTCGGTCACCACGGTCGGTGCGATGACAGTTAGCTCGGTCATACTATATTGGGCCGAAGTATGTTGAGCTTTCCTCAGAACCTTACTATTGGTTAGCTCCGTCCAAGCTCGATGTGATTAGTCCAGTCTCAGACAACATAGTTGGAATATGTCAAACCGAGGTACACGTAGTAAAAGGAAGAACCGAGCTAGTGGGAGCATGATCTAGTCTGCGGCTTTAGCATGGCCATGTTATCTCGATTGTATTGACATCCAACCGTGGTAGAACCATCTTACTTGGTTTAAGCAGTGAGGGGGGTGTTGAAGGATAAACATTATCTTTCAGGAAGGTGATTCCTAGGAGGACTCTACATGGAGGAGTAAGAGTCCTACTTGGATTGTGCCACACGGAACCTATAAAAGCTCACAATATCACCTATGGAGAGGTAACACAACTTTGATTTTCGAATACACAGACCTTTTGTCTATTTTGCTGACTTAGGCATCGGAGAGGTATTCGGCACACACCCGCCGGCTAGCTTACGTTTGTGTTTTCAGGGAGTAAAACGACGACGTTTGGAGGAGCACGAACTTGATCAACAGGATTAGACGAGAAGATTATTTCTTGCTCGTACAATTGGCGCCGTCTGTGGGAATCACAAAAAGAACAAAACCTCTTGATCAAAGTTTTCCTCGCTAGATTAGACGCAATGGCACACAATGAGGATTTTCCGTAGTCCGCCATTGACGGGCAAACCCTGAAGAGAGATGGGAGGCGCGAAGGCTTGCCTTTCATCCCTCCCATGGCAGATCTGGAGCCCCAACGACAGAATCCCCGGAGGGATGCGAGAGGAAGGTGGGTAACAGCCCCCGTCGTTCATCAAGTCCCGATAGGCAGAGGAGGATGATTGACCCTCAAGCTTTAGAGGATCGGGTAAAGGAGCAGGACGAGTTAATCAGGAAGATGACGGCGAACATGGAATTGATGAAGCGCCAGATAAAAGGGAAAGGGATGGCGACAGGAAAGGAGCGCAAAAGCAATACACCTCCTCGCCACTCTAAAGATCATGGTAGGCATACCACACCATTGCAAGCAAGAGTAAAAGCCTCAGGACAGGTGACACTCAATCAAGGACTTCCAGAACCCGTTACTCCAGGTCTGAAAGAACGAGATCATTGAGGTCTTACACTGAGGGAAGTACCTATCGGCCCTCACATACGCACCAGACATCATCCAGGCAAACGGAGTTGCCTAGATCGTCCGACTTACGGACTGTGCTTGAAGAAAGGGCACGACGGAATGAGGATGCCAGGGCACACGACCCGCACAGAATTTCAGCCCTTCAGCGGTTGGCTCCTCGGACGCAAGGAAGCGTCGAGGTAGGAATGTCAATACCGCACCTTGCCTACGAACCAACAGATAAAGCATTGGCAAGACTACATAGCTTGCCGTTCATTCCGGCGATTAAGAATGCACCATTACCTTCAGGCTTCATCCAACCTAAATTTACGACTTACGAGGAAAAGACAGACCCTTACATGCACCTAAGCCACTTTCGCCAGGTCATGGCAGTATACTGGCGGAACGAGGCTTTGATGTGTATCCTATTCCTATCCAGCCTTGGCGAACTAGGTTTAACCTGGTTCGAAAGGCTACCAGAAGGCAGCATAGCCTCCTGGGCACAATTGGCAGAGGCGTTCGTAACAAGGTTCAGAACAAACACCAAGACACCAGTAGAAATCGATCAGCTACTCTCCATTGACATGGGCGACAAGGAGACGTTGAGATCCTACAACAATCGTTATTGGGAGACCTTCAACCAAATAGGAGATTGCCCCACAAATCTCGCCATCGCGCAATACAAAAGAGGTCTTCCAGTCGGAAACAGGCTGAGGGACTCAATTACCATGACGCCCCCCCTCACAATGGAAGCCTTAATGGAGAGGGTACACAGCACATTCGGGTGGAGGAGGATGGCGCCCGTGCTAAAACAAAGTCTGGTACAGCCGCAATACCAAATAAAAAGACTTCGGCAAAAGTCAACGTGGTAGAACATCCAAGCAAGAACGGGCGAGGCAGGCAAGACAACGGAGAAGACCAAGATAAAAGATGGTTGAGAGTCCGCACTGCCATTACCACGGTATTCAAGAAACCAATCTACCGAATTCTCAACGAGATACGTGATGAACCTTTCATCAGATGGCCAGCTAAGCTCGGAGAAGCACAAAAGGACTATGACGAAAGATCTCGGTGCATTTTCCATAAGGAAAAGGGGCACTGCACTGAAAATTACACGCCGTTGAGATAGCATCTGGAGGAGTTAGTGGCAGCTGGTCACCTAGATCGGTACATAGAATGAGGGACGCAGCCAACCCCCCAAAACCACGATCACCCAAACGAAACGCCGATCGACGCCCCACCTCAAGGTGTGATAAACATAATACATGGGGTATTCGAGCCTGAGCGAGTATGCAAGCTCAGGAGAATGATAAAGAAGGCTAAGCACTTAAGGGAGGTATTAAGTGCACAGCCCCCCATTAAAAATGGGAGAATAGAGGCCACGAACGTCATGTCTTTCTCAGACAGAGACTTGGTAAGGATATATTGCCCTCACAATGATGCACTGGTCGTCACTCTCCGCATCAAGGATTTCAACGTCAAGCGAATTTTGATTGACCAAGGGAGCTCATGTGAGATAATGTACTACGAAACTTTCAAACAACTGAAACTGGAGGACAAAGACTTGGCACCTGCCGTATCTCCCCTGATCGGATTCAACTAAATGCCAGAGTGGCTAGTCAGCAAGATTATCCTCCCAGTCAGAGCAGAAAGCATGACGAAACAAGTGGAATTCTGGATATTGAAAGTCCCTTCCACTTACAACATAATCTTGGAAAGGACATGGCTGCATGCCATGCGATCGGTAGTGTCAACTTACCATCAAGTAATGCGGTTCCCCAACGAAGCCGGAGTAACTAAAGAGGTCTTTGGCGACCAAATTATGTCCAAGCAATGCTTCGTCACAGTAAATGGCAGCCGAGCTGCCAAAGGGTTTGTTCAGATGGTGGAAGAACCAGAGAGCAATGAATTGTTTGCGGATGTTGGCAAAGCCGCTGAACAGAAGGCAGTGAAAAACTTGGTACAGGTAAGGATAGATGAAAAGGACCCGAATAAGTTTTTTTTGCTTGGCTCATCTATGTCCAGTACCGAGAGAATAGAGGTCATGGAATTCTTGACCTCTAACATCGAAGTGTTTGCCTGGACGTCGTATGACATGCCTGGCATTGACCCAAACTTCATCTGTCACCAATTGAATGTCCACCTAACTGCAAAACCAATCATACAGCGCACTCGCAGATCAGCACTCCACCACACCGGATAGTAGCGGAAGAAGTAGGAAACCTTCTAGAAGCAGGAGCAATCAGAGAGGTGCACTATCCCAAGTGGATATTCAACACAGTGGTGGTGCCAAAGAAGGATGGGAATTGGTGTGTCTATGTGGACTACAAAATAGTCAACAAGGCATGCCTAAAGGACAACTTTCCTTTGCCACAGATAGACCAACTGGTAGATTTGACGGCAGAACACAACCGTCTTAGCTTTCTTGATGCGTACAGAGGTTACCATCAGATCGCTATGTATGAGCCAAACCAGGAGGTCACATCTTTTACGATGCCAAGAGGACTGTATTGTTACAAGGTCATGCCCTTTGGCCTAAAAAATGCAGGGGCAACATTCCAGCAGATGATCACCAAGATATTCGAACCATTGTTAGGCAGAACAATGGAGGCTTACATTGATGATATGGTAGTCAAAATCAAAGATAAGAATGACCATCTCAGGGACCTAGGTGAGATGTTTCAGATCCTAAAGAAGCACAAATTGCGTCTTAACGCATCTAAATGTGCGTTTGGTGTGGGATCAGGCAAATTCCTGGGCTTCCTAGTGACCAATCGAGGTATAGAAGCAGACCCCTCTCAGATCAAAATAATTCCAGAACTAGAGAGACCCAACTCAGTAAAAGAAGTACAACATCTCACCGGCATGGCAGCCGCACTAAACCGGTTCATAAGTCGGTCGTCAGACAGATGTCGACCATTTTTTCAAGCATTAAAGGCCAAGTTTGAGTGGGATGAAGAATGCGACTGCGCTCTAGAAAGTTTGAAAGAATAC